AGAAACCGTATTATTGATAACCAATCAAGTCGATTGTGTGAAAAAATAGTAGGTTTTTGTTTTGGTTTGTGATTTTATTCAATTTTGAATACGAATAATTACATACCAATTTATGTATAAGAAAATAGTCTTTATGGTGAAGAAATCCGTATGATTTTGACTTGTTTGACACTAGGAGGTCAAAGGTTGACTCAAATAACCCAAGGCCAACATATTGCATATTTAATAATAATTCTAAATAAATAAATAACTAACAAATTTTAATTACTACTAATTAATAATTAACATTAGGAATGATTAACTATTATTAATATTTATTTATAATTAACATTAATAAATAATAAATAACATTAATGAGAATTATAATTGAAAAAAGTGACAGCTCATTAAACGCTACTTCAAAAAACTTGCTTATGTTCATCTAAACATCTACTTAGAAAATAAGGTAGCTCATCTTTGCAAAACAACGCCTAAGCGGTTTTAAAAGATTGTGCATAAAATAGTTGTACATTGTGCTTGAAAAATTGTTTTTAAGACTTTAACGGATTTACTTTATAAGGTAACTTTATATTTTGTTTTATTCATTATTGATCTAAAGTTTTAGTATAAATGTGACAAGTCCTCCAAAAAGATTAGAATAATGTGAAGGTTGGTTGGATGATAATTTGAGTCTTTTGTTCATGTGGATTTATGAAACAAGTCGGGACTGACTTCCTCCTTATGGCATTAACTTCACTTTTGCTTACCAACGTATTTCATAAACAAGAAAACCAAATGTAAAAAATGCAGATTTCATAAACAAGAAAACCAAATGTAAATACAGATGATGAAATGCAGAGTTCATAAACCTAAACAAGAAATCCCTATGCCTATGGGATCGAGTCCGTCTCTACCGTCTTGTTCCCGGAAATGCCCATGACTACGGAAGTAAGGCCAATGCAGCTCCCATAATAACAAGAAGGAAGAGCATCTGAAAAGCGCCTAGATAAAACGTGAGCAATGAGTTTGGAGGTGGCAACAAAACAAAGAACGAAACAAGTATGAACCCCACCAAAGCAAAAAGGATCACGGCTACATATGTCGGATGAGTAGCCGATGGGTATCCATCATCCCGAGAGAAGGATTGTATGGCTACCAATCCGAATATGATCATAAAAATGAATGAAACCGTTGAGGGGATTTTGTTGAAAAGTCGGGATTGGTGATCGTAGTCCCTCGGAAGTAAATTCAATGCACCATTTATCCCCTCTGTCATAGCATTGTTAGGACCTCTCAACCCCGTTTGTTGCTGTTGGTTATTTGTCCCTTCCGGTGTCTGCTGCTGCTGTTGCTCCTCCTGCCGCCGCTGCTGCTCGTGGTTCTGGTTTTCGATGTCTTGGGTATGGTTGCTAGTTCCCAGGTGAACGATAGTTGTGGAAAAGTCTCCCATTTCTGTGAGTTTCCATGAAACAGTTAGATATAATTAAAACCGACCAAACATAATCGGATATCCAATTGTAATTGGACCGGATCGGATCCAAAAAATTTAACATCCAAATAAGAGGCAAGCGAACGACCGACAATCTTAAGAATTACACCCGGCAAAAAGCAATGCAAAGATTGAGAATTTCACCCGGCAAAAAACAATGCAAAGACCGACAATCTTAAGAATTTCACCCGGCAAAAAGCAATGCAAATACCGAGAATCGTAGTCGGTTAGTATATGTATTTATCGACTCTTGCCAACAATCTTCCTTTTACTGTTAAGTTTCAGCATATATGTAATTAAAAAAATTGATAAAAATAAAACATATCTTGTCAAGTAATTAAAATTGGTTTCAGTTTCTTCAAAAACGAAAAAGAAAAAGAAAAAAAATAAGAATAAAAATAAGAATGGAGGTTTTAGTTTTAGGCAAATAAAAAACACACACGTGGATCTAGGGAAAATGAATCTGCCCCCAAATATATACCCATCATTTCCCCCTATGTCCTCCCATCTCTCACAATAGCACCGGCTATGTCCTCCCATCTCTCACAATAGCCCACCTGAATCAGAAATCTATTGATAAAGCACCGGCGGCGACTGTTCAACTCCGACTCTCATCTTTCACCGGCGACGGCTACACCGCCGGTTCTGTTTCTCTAGCTACTCAGTCGCTCGGTGCTCACAATAGCTTTTGATAAATATTAAACACCAAAAAGCTTTCTAGCATTAAGCAAGAAGAATACCTTGCTGAGCTGAGCTGAAGACTGGACAGACGCAAGTAGCAACAAACAAACAAACATGTGTTAAGTTTTCTTGTGATTTCTTATAAGATTTGCATCACAGCAATGAAATGTAAGCAAGAAAGATACCTGGACTGGAATGAAATGGATTGGATGAAAGCTTACAAGAATGCTCTTCAATACTACTGGAATGCTTATAAGGGATGAAACAATGTTCGTTCAATATGAAATGGATTGGATGAAAGCTTATATGAATGCTCTTCAATACGGGATGCAACAATGTTCAGTACTGTACTACTGGAGGAATGCTCTTCAATACCACCACCTTCTGGTAGGCACGCTGGCTGGCTGGCTAGAGTGGTGGCAGCATTTTCAATCCTCTTGCATATTTCCACGTTTTATACCAAATAACCTTCAACTTTAATGTTTCTTCCAAAATTCCCCAAATCCATCATTTTTTTCCCGGACAAGAAGTGTACTTATACATTTTGTTTTATTCTTTGTCTTTGTCGATTTTATAATACGGTTTTGAGAAAACATTAATG